TTTCATTTATCCATAAGCACACACATGCACACAGACACACACTCTCACACTCACTCTCACACTCTCTCACTCTCATCTCACACTCTCTCTCATTCTCACTCTCACACTCTCATCTCATACTCTCATCTAATACTCTCTCTCACTCTCCCACACTCTCCCACTCTCACTCTCATCTCACACTCACACTCACACTCACTCTCACATCCTCTCTCACTCTCACCACTCTCTTATTCTCACTCTCTCTCACTCTCACACTTTCTCTCACACTCACACACACACACACACACACACACACACACACACACACACACACACACACACACACACACACACACACACACACACACACACACACACACACACACACACACTATTACAAACTTATGGACATATGATTAAAGAAATGGTGTGGCATAAATTAGTTCCAAACACTATATTTTCACACTAAAATCTTCATCTTTTTGTAGGAAGCTTTTACACAGATGCAAGATTGTCAGTTGCAAGAAAACAATTTCTTATCCTTTTGCATCAAGCAAACATGAGTTTTTTGCAAAATTATTCCTTAATAATTTTGTGCTTAAACAAATATATTCCACAATTTCTTTAAGTTACAGTCACAGCCACATTTACTAACTCACTATTTCTCATTCACATTCTTGCTCCTTTTATCACTTTTACTCTTTACTTTTCATTCTACCTCTTGCTGTTCTTATTCATATTATACATAGCTCTATTACATTCAAAGTGAACATTAGTAGACAGCCAAAATGTTTTCACTGATTGTACACTTGAGGCATGAACTAATTGCAGCATAATACCATATTAGCTGAGAAAAAACAATGTGTTTTTGTGTGCACATGCACAAGCATGCACATGTATGTGTACTCATATATTTGCTCATGCATGTGGGTATATGCATTTGCAGATTGGCATGTTCATTAATATGGATATGAATACAAGTAAGGATGTGTTCCTCAGTGTGGATATGGGTGCATGTGTAAAAGGTAACAATGCATGTATGTGTGCTAAAAACAATGTGCTGTATGTGTGCTAAAATCAATATACATTATCATATGTGTATGGCTGGCAAGTGCATCATTTTGGATGTGCATGCAAGTGTATGGAGTGTATTCATACATATTACCTAGTCATAAGCTGGTTTCCTTGACACTATCTTCAGAATTGATTGACCTATCCTTCCTACTACTTTATAGCTTGTTTTTCATTACTAATTCCTATCACAAAAATCTACATACAATTTAAATTCTTATGATTTATCTAACCTCGAGAGTAATATTTCTCACCCGAACCTAAACAGATTTTTTGGCTTCAAAGTTCCTATAAATCAGGCCATTTATGTGTGGACATTAAACTCCTAGATATTGTGTCCTCCAAACATTCCATTCCACTGTCCTAAAAAAAAAAAAAAAAAAAAGGATACACTGAAGCTGCTTAAACTTTTTCTTTATTTTAGCTAGAAATACACATCTGTTTCTCCCATCCAAATAAGATCTGGAATTTGTACTCACCAAAGAAAAACTAAATGAACTTGTCTTAATGTGGGCAATCAAAATGAATTCACAAACTTTACGTAAGCTTCTGCCGTCTCCTCACCAGTTAACGAGTAACAAAATCAGATAATGTGTACAAATAAAACTGTGCTGTCAAAAGCTCCTACACAATAGCCGCCGGGTGAGACGGTGGAGTGTTGAGCCAAACTCTGACAGCTGGCACGTTCTTCCTGCCAGGCCGTGTAGAAGTGGGCCCAGTAGAGCCTCTTCTGAAGCAAAGAGATGGAGTCAGAACCCTCACAACATAAGCTCTGAACATCTTAGTGCAATTCAGAGGAACCGCTACGATATCTACAGGTACTTTGTGAAAATACCATACCATCATACCAGGTGTCACAATCACTGACTAAGGTGACTATGGATTTTTTGAAGACTAATGGAATGGTAGTTATTACATAATAATAACTAACACATAATTTTGGGTGTCTTATCCATATACAAACTAAGAGTCGACTGTTTCTGCACTTTTGTCAAAGAGAAAAAAAAAGTATGTACACATATATAATATAATGCAGAAACACACACTTTTTTGTGTGTATATCCATTTGCATATGTATGCGTGCGTGTTTGCCAACATCTCAATACCTATGTATATGTGCAATTGTATTTACACTTGAGGAAATATTGTATGTATGTGTATCTGGGTGTGGGTGTGCGTGTGTGTGTGTGTGTGTGCATAGGTATATGCAGGTGTGTTTATGTGACTCCAGGTGTTGACAACAAAACCCATTTAGAGATATATTTGAAAATATATTCCCAAGATTTCCTATCTCTTATATAAATATTAATCATTCTATCTTATCAATAATCAAAATACATCATTATTAACTTAAATATTTATGAACAAGTTTTAACAACATTCACTTTATAAACCTCTTGAACAAGCTGCAGCAAAAGATAAACCTATTCTGCAAATAACTAAAACAAAACATTATCACAGTAATCACAACATCAAAGAGACTGTATGCAATCCTTTTCTTTCAAACAACAATAATGGAACAAAACACATGTACATATCTAGAAAGAGGCTCACTTGTGATTGAGGTAGATCCAGGTGTGTGAGGTGAACCAGACCAGGATCGTGAACAGGAGCCCACTTCCAGCAGCTGACAGTAACAGATAGACAACACCTGACCTGCAAAATTATATTTTCTATGCACACCTTTATGCATTTTTGGTAAATCCTATTCAAGTACCATCTATGATTAATGGGACTAAAAGTGAACACACTAAATATTGACAATACTCTTTATAAAAACTTGACCAACAATGAGAGAGGGTTTTCCGTACAGAACGTAATAAATTATATCAGCTAAAGAATCATAACTCCCAAAACATTGAATTTATTAGGAAAAAAAGTTAAAACTTCAGCTTCATATAGGGTATCTTACATAGCCTGGTAGCAGGTGGCATTGAGGGCTGTGCGATACTGGTGATGCATAGATTGGCATTCAAGCAGGGCAGATACACCGCCCAGACTGCGCTGAGACTGGTTCACAAATGCAGCTAGGTGGTCCAAGCGAGGGTGAATCTATTGAGATCAAGCAAGTGAAAAATCAAATATGAAATCTTTGTTAACATAAACAGAAAAGAACATCAATGCTCATATTTCTCCACAATCTGTAATCTAAGCAATAGTAATTAATTCAATACTACTTGTATATACGAATGTTTAGGTCTAAGTTAAAGTAAGTAATAAATATTGGTTTTGCTTTAACATTTTTACTATTAGTTTGAAATAGAAGTAATTGGGAATCAAAGCTTTAAAAGTTAATAAAAAAGCTTTGAAATAGAAAAAAAAAAATTCCATAGCATCAGTACACACTGAGTTACTAACAATACAAAATTCTGGCTTTTGAGAATGGCACAATTTAGATATTTCATTACTCTGTGCCAATAATTGATAAAAGAAGAAAGAGGGATGAAACACAATCAAAGGAAAAACAGTAATGCATACAGACCTCTTGACGATCGTAATTGCTATCAGCCAGAGTAGTAACCTTGTTCAGTGATGTCATCACAAGTTCAGCTGCCTGCTTGGCATGGGTCAGGTAGCGAGTGAATGGTGATTTACGTGTTGGGTCACAGCGAAGGTAGTAAGCAGCCACATCTCGAGACACAAGCTTGCTAAGCTGACTCTCCAGGAATGGATTGGGATCCATGCACCAATCTGAGAGAGCCTGGTCATGAGCAGATTTGGATTAGTATGATGGAAGGGAAAGAGATAAACTATCAGATTTCTTGATACCTTTATTCAGGAATGTAAGCACCAACTTAAAAGCTAAATACAATCTCTTTTCTTCAAGTGACCTTTAAAACAAAATATCAGTCACCAAAGTTTACCTTCAATAATCTAAACTTATTCCTAAAAATCTATTTCACAATTACCATTAATAATCAAATCTAGAAATATTTAGAACTGAGAAGTAGTATTCATCCAAACTCACAACAGTGGAGACCAAATAGAGTGACGTCAAACCCCAGCAGAGGATCATAGCCAGCAGACCCAACACAGAAAATCTGAAAGGCATATCATCAGTCATTCAAATGAACAGGTACCATATAAAAAAAATCACTATATCTATCAGATTATCATGCAATTTGGAAAAAAAATGAAATGAAACCAAAGTATCAATTCCCTGTAGGCATCATTAAGTTCAGGCCGGCTAGTGAAATACCTAATGACAAATATAATTCACTCAGAATTTGCTCCAATTAAATTGAGCAATACCAGAAAATCCTAATCAAAATTTTCTGGGCTACTGATACTACTGATAAAGAGAATATAATTAAAGTGTTACTGTCAACACAGAGTGATATAAAGCAACACAGCTCCTTAATGAGTGGGACGGCTGGTTAATTTTGCCATACAAATTGTGCAGGCTGATACAAATCTATGCATGGACCTTTTAAATCATCACAAAAGAGCTGAACCGAAATATACATAATTTTGTTTAATTAATCTCAAATTTACTCATATGAAGTTTCTATCTTTTCAATTAGACTGATCTATAAAAATCATATGCATTATTGAACCAGTATTGGTCAGTATAAAAGTTTATACAATAGAACCACCAAAATGTAATATCACTTTCACTATTCACAGCCAAAGCTATGCCTAAATGATTGCTATCACTCACTCACTCACTCACTCTCTCTCTCTCTCACACACACACACACACACACACACACACACACACACACACACACACACACACACACACACACACACACACACACACACACACACACGCGCGCGCGCGCAAACACACGCGCAAACACACGCGCAAACACACACGCACGCACACGCACGCACACACACACGCGCGCGCGCAAACACACGCGCAAACACAAACGCACGCACACACACACACGCGCAAACACACACGCACACGCACACACACGCACACACACGCGCACACACACACACACACACACACACACACACACACACACACACACACACACACACACACACACACACACACACACACAATCCAACATGTGAAATAACATTACTTACGTTATGAGCGTGCAGCGGGAGTGCTTGGCCACCCCGACCATCACCACAAGCACAACGATCATGAGGATGCCCGTGACGCCCTGGGTGCCCACCCAACGTGCCAGTTCACCAACGCCCAGCATGTGCACCACGCCGCCCATCTCGGCTCCTGACATCTGCGTGTGGCGGGTCCATTAATTTCAGTAGCCTTGCATTATTCAAATTCAATTACATATATCAAATTCAATTACATATATATATGTGTGTGTGGATACGCAAAACATTCAGGTACACCAAAAGCAAAGATTATGTAAAGCAATACCGCACAGAAAAAAAAAACGTATATTCGGTACGTACAGTACGACCACATCCAAAACTAAGCATCAATACCTATCTATAATCCAAAACCCACGTACCATAGAATTGATGTCCTCCACATTAATGAGAAGAACTTCGGAGATGTTGCCTTGCATATAATGAAGCGATTCTCGAATGAACATGTCCACGCTCTGGTTTTCGGATTTTTGCCTTTGAACGGTTTCCTTGAAGAGATTCAGTTGTGGCTGCAGGTTCCTCCGAATGGTCTCGTCAAAGAGCTTGGTCTGTGGAGAGAAACAGTGGCGTTCACATATGCTATAATAATTACGTTCTAAATACAATATATAGGATTTAATTCTGCCTCATTTGAGGAAGAAGATAACTATAAAAGTCAAGCTTCCTTTATTGGCAAACACGTTGAGATAAAAATCGTCCAAGTTATACAGACATCATGATATCATCATCAACTTCGGAAGTATGACCTTTACACGCACCTACAATGACATCCAAAATATTCAGAAACATGGAATAATCAGGTGACAGACACATGAAATCATCACCAACTTTGGAATTATGACCTTTTAACACATTACGCAGACATGAAAATAGACTTTACAAAAGGTTATACGAGAAGTTCACCTGATTGCTGAGAGAGTGCACCATGCTGTTGATATTGTCCAAGGAGCGTATGGCCTCCGTCATCCCTTCGTGAACCTCCTCGTTTCCCCATATGCTCACTCCCAATGCTCCCCTGGGGAAAGAAAGTGCGGTTACATAGAACAGTGAATGGCAGGAAAATGGGTGTAATGTAAATGATATTTCAGATATGTATGAGAAATGCTCCTAATGCTCCCCTCGGGGAAGTATGTATGATTAAATAGGTCAGTCAATTTCAATCAAATTAAAGCAAACAATATTTGCCGTGAGAAATACTCTATATGCGCCCCTTTGAAAAAAGAAAAAAAACATCCCGTCAATATTCTCGATATGAAATCAATGACGTTTTTTGAATTGATGAAAAATACTTCCTAGAAAATCGTACAAACAAACCAAACTGCGTTTTACTAATATCCACAAAAAAGGATATAATATCAAAACTACACTATAAAAAAAAACACATCAAAGAACAGTGATAAAAGAACATTATTGCCAATCAATAATCTTAAAGTACAGTCAGAAAAATAAGTCTAGTTACCCACTACCCAAACTAATGTGAAAAATCGACGAAGTGGTGTGGAATAACGAGGTAGGTAGTTAGTAACGTAATCCGGTGTTAACTGAAAGAAGCGTTCAGCTCCTCAATGACCGTAACTAAAGGTAACGATACTTTTTTCTGACAGTACATATTACTCTGACTGCATTAAACACACAAAAAGCCTCCGAACTTACAAGGTTAAAATGGCGAAGAGGACAAGGGTGACCTTGAGACAGGTGATGGAGCCCGGCTTGCGAGGCCGATTGTCGCAACATCGGGTCAGCAGGTACAGCAGGAGGACCAGCAACGTCAAGATTAATATTCCTGCTGGAACGGAACCGATGATACCAAGGCTCTGAAAACATGAGAGCATACCTTGTCAGAAAAAAAAGAATCAGGAACTAAATAAAGTGAAAGTAAATAACAAAACAGCGAACACATAAAATTACCTAAACATTAAAATAATAATAATAATAATAATAATTTTGATACTACCAAAAGGTACGTTTTCTACAGAATCTGCGGTCTGAGCATAAACTTTATCAATTTGCCATACTGATTAAAACTCCCATGAGAAAAAAGCTCACTACTACTATTAATATGTATGCTAAACTACAGTATACCTTTTCCCACAAAAAAAAATAAATTGCTACGAGAACGAGCCACCCACCTCCTGGTACACGGGCGAGTAGGGTTGAAAGGTCGAATTGACGAAGTGAAGCGTGAGGTTGATGTGCGGCACTTTATGGAACCAGTCCACCCAGAACACACGCTGCACCACCGCTTCGGAGGCCACGCTGTAGCCTTCCATCGCCATGGCCTACGCTCTGCTGTGGACTTCGCCGCCTCGCCTCGCCTGCCTGCCTGCCTCCTCCTCCTCTCACTCCTGCCCGCGCCCACTTCTCATCCTGAAACTGAAGGGAGACGAAAGTTGAATTGGCTGAGAGGAGAAAAAAGTCCGGGGGAGAAGTGCGTATGTCTTTGGCATTCGTACTCTCGTTGCAGAGTGCAAGGGAAACGCGGTAAACTGGAATAAATATTCAGCATGGAGAGGGAGAGGGAGAGGGAGAGGGGGAGAGGGGGAGAGGAGGAGAGGGAGAGAGGGAGAGAGGGGGAGAGGGAGAGAGGGAGAGATCGAGACAGGCAGACAGAGAGACAAACAGAGAGTGAGAAGAGAAAGAGTGAGGGGAGAAATAAAAGCAAGACTCATTTCGCTAACAAGTTCATTAATGCTGCGCTCTCTTGCAATTATTGGATATCGGCGAGGAGACGCGAGGGAATAATGGAGAATAGAGGGATTTCAAGAGATTCTGCTTGCATGCCTGCATGTATGTATGTCACCACACACACACACACCACACACACACACACACACACACACACACACACACCACACACACACACACACACACACACACACACACACACACCACACACACACACACACACACACACACACACACACACACACACACACACACACACACACCACACACACACACACACACACACACACACACACACACACACACACACACACACACACACACACACACACACACACACACACACACACACACCACACACACACACACACACACACACACACACACACACACACACACACACACACCACACACACACACACACACACACACACACACACACACACACACACACACACACACACACACACACACACACACACACACACACACACACACACACACACACACACACACCACACACACACACACACACACACACACACACACACACACACACACACACACACACACACACACACACACACACACACACACACACACACACACACACACACACACACACACACACACACACACCACACACACACACACACACACCACACACACACACACACACACACACACACACACACACACACACACACACACACACACACCACACACACACACACACACACACACACACACACACACACACCACACACACACACACACACACACACACACACACACACACACACACACACACACCACACACACACACACACACACACACACACACACACACACACACACACACACACACACACACCACACACACACACACACACACCACACACACACACACACACACACACACACACACACACACACACACACACACACACACACACACACACACACCACACACACACACACACACACACACACCACACACACACACACACACACACCACACACACACACACACACACACACACACACACACACCACACACACACACACACACACACACACACACCACACACACACACACACACACACACACACACACACACACACACACCACACACACACACACACACACACCACACACACACACACACACACACACACACACACACACACACACACACACACACACACACACCACACACACACACACACACACACACACACACACACACACACACACACACACACACACACACACACACACACACACACACACACACACACACACACACACACACACACACACACACACACACACACACACACACACACACACACACACACCACACACACACACACCACACACACACACACACACACACACACACACACACACACACACACACACACACACACACACACACACACACACACACACACACACACACCACACACACACACACACACACACACACACACACACACACACACACACCACACACACACACACACACACACACACACACACCACACACACACACACACACACACACACACACACACACACCACACACACACACACACACACACACACACACACACACACACACACACACACACACACACACACACACACACACACACACACACACACACACACACACACACACACACACACACACACACACACACACACACACACACACACACACACACACACACACACACACACACACACACACACACACACACACACACACACACACACACACACACACACACACACACACACACACACACCACACACACACACACACACACACACACACACACACACACACACACACACACACACACACACACACACACACACACACACACACACACACACACACACACACACACACACACACACACACACACACACACACACACACACACACACACACACACACACACACACACACACACACACACACACCACACACACACACACACACACACACACACACACACACACACACACACACACACACACACACACATGAACGTGTGCATGCACGTATGTATGCATGTATACACCGCATACCACCCGGCGCCACCACACCGGTCCATGTCAAAGGTCATGCCTAAAAATACGAGTCGTCCAAGATAAATAAGGAGCGAGAGACTCCTGCAAAGAGCGTGACGTCACTGATTACGCAATGGCCCCCACTTGCATGTAGTCGCCGTATTTGCTTACATGCGTCCTTCCCTTGCATGGCGCACGGGGCTTGCAACAGGACGATGGCCTTTTTTATCAATACATATTATTTTTCTTTATATTCATTATTCAGCCAATGTTCCGTAAATAGTAATGAAGGTAATTAGTATAATCTCACCAGTGTCTATCTAATTAAAAAAAAACTGATGCACCCTAATGGTATTGCTCCTTCATTCGCCAGGTAATTACCATGGCATAACAATGCATATGCGACTGAACCAACAAGAAAAATACCTTAATTAAGCATCACTAGACATCAACACCATTAATAAGTTGTCTTCTACATACAAGGCGGAGGTAGGAGGAGAGGGAGAGGGAGAGAGCGGGAGGGGGAGGGAGAGGGAGAGGGAGAGGGAAAACGGGAGGGGAGGAAGAGCGAGGGAGAGAGCAGGAGGGGGAGGGAGGGCGAGGGAGAGAGCGGGAGGGGGAGAAGGAGAGCGGGGATAATGAGGGAGAGAGAGAGAGAGAGAGAGAGAGAGAGAGAGAGAGAGAGAGAGAGAGAGAGAGAGAGAGAGAGAGAGAGAGAGAGAGAGAGAGAGAGAGAGTGAGAGAGAGAGAGAGAGAGAGGGAGGGAGAGAGGGAGAGAGGGAGGAGGGAGGGAGGGAGGGAGGGAGGGAGGGAGGGAGGGAGGGAGGGAGGAAGGAAGAGGAAGAGAGAGAGGAAGAGGGAGAGGAAGAGAGAGAGGGGGGGGGGGGGGAGAGAGAGGGAGAGAGAGAGAGAGAGAGAGAGAGAGAGAGAGAGAGAGAGAGAGAGAGAGAGAGAGAGAGAGAGAGAGAGAGAGAGAGAGAGAGAGAGAGAGACGTGGATGGAGAGAGATCCAAATCCACATCCACATCCACACCGCACATTCTACACACACACACACACACACACACACACACACACACACACACACACACACACACACACACACACACACACACACACACACACACACACGAATAATATAAAAATAAATAAACAAACAAATCAATCAATCAACTACTTACATAATTAATTAAAAAGAAATCGATAAACAAAGAAAATCAAACACAAATAAGGCGGCTCACAGGGCACAGGACTTCGCCACGTGGAGCTTATTGTCCCGAACGATGCTAATGTGACGTTAACAACAAAGGAATTTCCGCTTCATCTGCATACAGTTCTTAACAAGTTGCCTAAGCTTACTTCTCTTTAAAAATGTCTTTGTCTCTCTTTTCTTCTTCATTTTTCCTCGAAATTCCAACTGGTTTGTTTCCTCCTTTCGTTTGTTTCTCACTTTCGCGCTTCTCTTTGCCATTCCTCCGCCTTCTCTTCAATTTCTTTCTCTCTCTCTACGGGCTCCTTTAGCATACCTTATCTCTTCCTTTCACACCTTTCACTTCCTTATCCCCACCTTCGCCATTTCCCCAAATCCTTTTCCTCGAAGATGTAAATGCGGGCGAGCGAGAGCAACAGCAACACTGCCGCGTGTTTACTCAAGACAACAACGTTTCTCCTGCCCGACTCTCGCTCGCTCGCTGCTCTTCCTTTCCGCTCTCTGATTTCGTTCGAAATATGACGGCGAAGCGGCAGCGGCCTGGATTCTCGAAAAGGCCTTCTTCTGCACAGAAGTTGAAGGGAGGGATGGGGAAAGGAGGAGGAAAGGAAGGGGGAAGAGGAAGAGGAAGAGGAAGAGGAAGAGGAGGAGGGGGGGGAGGAATAGGAGGAAGAGGAATAAGAGGAGGATGAGGAGGAGGAGCAGGAGGCGGAGGAAGAGGAAGAGGAGGAGGAAGAGGAAGAAGAGGAAGAGGAGGAGGAGGAAGAGGAAGAAGAGGAAGAGGAAGAGGAAGAGGAAGAGGAAGAGGAAGAGGAGGAGGAATAGGAAGAATAGGAGGAGGAGGAGGACGAAGACGAGGAGGTGGGGAAAGGAAGAGGAAAAGGAAGTGAGGAAGGAAGAGGAAAAGGAGGAGGAAAAGGAGGAGGGTGAAGGAGGGAAAATATTAATTCCTTTGTTCCTTTGAACAAAGGAATTAATAGGAAAGGAAAGTTGGGGAAAGGAGGAGGAAAGGAGGAGGAAAGGAAGGGGGAAGAGGAAGAGGAAGAGGAAGAGGAGGAATAGGAGGAATAGAGGAAGGAGGAGAGGAGGAGGAGGAGGAGGAGGAGGAGGAGGAGGAGGAGGAGGAGGAGGAGGAGGAGGAGGAGGAGGAGAAGGAGGAGGAGGAGGAGGAGGAGGAGGAGGAAGAGGAGGAGGAGGAGGAGGAGGAAGAAGAAGAAGAAGAGGAGGAGTAGGAGGAGGGTGAAGGAGGGAAAATATTAATTCCTTTGTTCCTTTGTCTAGTATTAATCTCTTACACATTCTGTCTGTCTGTGTGTGTGTGTGTGTGTGTCACCTTTACTAATTCTTTTGTAGGCTTCACTTTCTTCCTTTGATCACATCCTCTTGCCA